ACATCAACCACCCCCCCCCCCTGCACCCACTGGTAGGGCGAGCGCGGAGCTGCTTCTCCCCCCGCCCCCAGCCGCCTGCGGGGAGCCCACGTCTCATCCGCAGAGGAGCAGCCACACACGGTCGCCTCCAGCAGCCGCAGAGAGAAGGGCGGGGGGAGGGAGCGGGGAAGAAAGCGGCGGAGAAGAGAGACAACAAATTCAAACTGCAGCTCGGGCCAATGAGGGAGGCGGGGCGGGGACATGCAAATCTACCCCGGGCCAGGGGAGCCGGTGCTGCGCGGATCCACCTTAAGCCGCCCCCCGGCCGCGGCGCTTGCTGCAGTACAGGCTCGTCGGGGCGAGCCGCTGCCAAGCCCGCGTACAACAACAAGCCCCAGCAGGGCTGCGAGGGGGGAGGAGAGAGGCCCCCCCACAGACTCCGGACCTTGCTGCTCCCCCCAGCCCAGCTCCTAGGGCACCGCTGGGCTTTGCAAAGCACGCGCCCGCCGGCGCTGCTCCGGTCGCGGGGGCTCGGCGCTGCGGAGCGGGGCGCCGGGGTGGGAGCGGCTCCAAGCCAACGCCATGATTGTTGCAACACTTTTCTGGCGGGGCGGGGTGGGGGGAAGAGGGATCGGGGCATGTTCCAGTGATGCAATCCTCGCCTCTGCGCCGCGATCTCCCAGCCGGTGTACGGGAAGCGGGGCACCTCCCCCCACGCCCCGAAGCAGGAAGGTTGTGCAGAGAGGGAAAGAAAAGACATCTTTTTTGGGGGGGGGCTGCAGGGAGTTGTTGCTGCTTCGGGGCTTCTAGTCCCCATACTCCAATCGCCGATTCCCGCCCCCCTACACACACCACCCATACGCACATTCCTCCCCGCACACACACATCCCCCCGCACCCCCGGCGTGGCCCAGGTGGCCGGGACCAGACCTTGGCGGGGCTATTTGCCCGGGGTTGCGGGGCCCGGATCCCAGCTCGATCCCGGGGTATAAAGTAGGGGGTGGGGAGGGGTTTTGGCCACTTGCCACCAAAAAGGACTAAAAAAAAAAGAAGAAGAAAAACAGCCCCGCGCTGACCACTCCCTTTCTCCAGACCCGGGGCCAGTCCATGGGTGGCTGCTAGTAAATAGCTGCTAGTGCACGGGCGATTCATAAATCCGGGCTTGGAGGCTGCGCTTGCTCCCGCGGGGGGAAGCGGCCGATCCCTGCCTGCCCTGCGGGGGAAGCAGGAGCCGAGGCTGCGGGCGCGGGGGGCGGAGGAGCCCAGCTCTGGGGGAATAAACACGGGGACCCCTCCCTGAATGGCGCTTGGCTGCAAGGGGGGGAGGCTGTGCCCAGCATAAACCTGGGTGCTGGCAGGCAGGGACTCGCCTCTCCCCGCCTTTATTGTTTTCGTAAGGGCTGCCAGCCGCTGTGAGAGCTGGTTTTGGGACCGCGGCGGGCCACACGATCCGCTCCTACCAGGCCGAAGCGGGCAGGAGCGTCATGCGCGCATACAGCCTCAGTGAGAAAGCCCCGGGCTGCGCATTCCCTCCACAGCTTGACCAGCCTGACCCCGGGTGGGGGAAATTGAGGCACAGCCTCGCTCCTGGGGGAGGAAAGGGATCCCCCGGCACGGTTTGAAGTGAGCAATAATCTGTTCGCACGTGGGGTCCAGCAGCGCTGTCAGCTTTTCAGATGTGCTCCGAGATAGGGCCATCCAAGCCTTGATTTCACCTTCCTCTCCCCTGCTGCAAATCATGTGCATGCGAGCTGCCTTCCTTGTCACGCGATGATGCAGCCTCTGCAAGTTTGGGGTCAAAAAGGTGAAGAGAAGGTGAACAGGAGGTTCACCTAACAGCAAAGCTACTCCTGTGGGTTTGTACCTTTCCCCAGGAAACTGGCTTTTCAGGGCACTTTGTAATGAGTCTGATTTAAAATCAGGTGAAAAGCATTAGCCCTAATCTAAAACCACCTCTGGTTAGGGCCTGATTTGTCCACTGATTTGTAATCCCTGTCCTATGCTAAGTAGGGCACTCTCAGTACTCTGGCTTGGTCCTCATTTGCTCCCAATGGGGTTTAACAAAAGAATAGTCTCATGGTTTTAAATGGGGTTGCTTAGGTAAGTAATAATAATAGAGCACAATCGTTTATAGGATCTGGACCATTACGTATATTCTTGATTCCTACTTTCTAATGGTTAGCTTTTTGTGGGGAGGACACCCCTGATCTGTTTGCTCTACAAACAGGGAGACAGTTTAGATGCCCAAACATCATAAAAGCAAACCCAACTGCATACTTAATACAGCCAATTTAATAGTTGTGTGTGTGCACATAATACCCTCCTTGGGCTGTTTTCTTTTTGGACAAGGATTTTCTCAGAAATGAGCAGACACTACACCTTATTAGGATGTTACGGTAAAGGGTGTTTTGAAAGACAGGTCAGGATTTGGTGAAAATCCTTTAAACCAGAAGAGATGGAGGAGGATGAAAGACACCATCCATGGTACAGATTGCTGAGTGACTAACAGCTTAGGTGTGACCTATATTGGGTGAAATCAGGCCCATTCCTTCAGTATATGTGATCCAGGAAACATGAATTTGGATTTATATTTTAAATCTTGTGGTTTTTTATTAGATTCAAGAAAGGAGATATTAACAAGGGGACTATTTCAAGCACTCTCATTTTTAAACCAAGTGGTGTAGCTAAAACATTAAATTCCCCCATTTTAATTGAAGAGGCTGAAGGCATTTTCCCCTCAGTCATAAGAAAATGATTGTTGCCCATGACTTTAGGGGTGAAGAGTGTCTGTAGTCTGATGTTTTATTGAGGCTCAGGAATAGATTCTCAGAAGGAAACCTGCGGCATTGTTTGTCCAAATGTATTTCTTCTTGTGCCAGGTAGAGGGGAAATTGAAACACCAGAGAGCATGTCTCTTATATATGGCACTTTTCTTTATTGATTGCTTGATGTGAAACAGTATCCATATGCAACTTTATTTTTTATGCATTACAAAAAATATTAAAGTTGGCTCAGTCTGCAATCATTTAAGCACAGCCATATTAATTAACAGAAAAAGGAAAAAATAAACCAAAACTAAAAATTCTACCAAATAGAGCATTTACAAATGCACAAAAACATGCCACTTTGGCTTTATGGGGAAAAATATCCTCTTCTAGATTAAAAAAAATCTTTTAACATAAATAAGTTAGTATAATTTCTCAGTGTCTTTACAGAGTTATGTACACAGGTACACTTCAAACTTTTTTTTTATTTTTACATACAGGTACACAGGCAATGTAGAAATACTGTTTAAAGATGTAGTATCCCTTTTCAACCATGAATATTAGGAAGTTGGGTAAGATCAGGAAAAAAAAGAAAAACACAGTATTCTGGTTTTGAAGTATGAACTCTACTGATTCATTTGGCAGCATTCAAGCAATGCTACAGATGGGACAAATTTAAAGAATTTTATAGTAGTTCTACTGGTTTAAGGGATTTAAGGAGTTCCAGGAAGAATAATATTAATAAAATAATAAACATTTTGTTGCTACATAACGGAAACATCAGAGCTCCCACCTCTTTTTTCAGCTTAATGTAATAAGTAAAAACTTCACAAGCAAGCTATAATGGCCTGCTGAAACCAGTGTTACCATTATGGTGCATTAAAATAAAGGGGGGGGGGTTGAACATTGTAGAACCCCATTTAAAGGAACAATACATCTTTAAGTGATAAAAAGCCTACACTGCTTCTCTTCATACAGTTCTCTGCTTGCTAGTTTGTGAAAGCAAGTTTCAGTCACTCACCTTTTTCCACTCCCTCCCCTCCCTCCCCCCCCAAAACCGTTTATGTGCTACATAAGGTAAAAACTATATACACAGGTAGTACAAAGAAGCAAATAAGGAAATACCTAATTGCACAATGCTACATCCAATGCTTTTAGAGGCAGATCTTTTAAGAGTGCCTAACATTTTAGTGTTATTGTTTTGTTTTTTTTTGTCATTTTGTGTGTTTTGTTTTGTTTTTTCTTCAGTGCTTGTACAAGATCTCCATCCCATGGAGAATTAACGATATGTATTTTTTTTTATTAATTTGTAATAGACCTTTACATCTCCCTGGCTTCATCCACCACTGGAGCATCCCGATGAAGGAGGAAATGCAGATGAACTCTGCAAGGAAAAACAACAAGGGCAGGTATTAGCAGGGCCGGGAGGTGGGGGGGAGGGAGGAGGAAGGCAGGAGGCAGCTTTACTTCGAAAGCCCCGAGATCCAGGGCCGCAGTCTTGGCCCCACGGGCTGGGGAGGTTGCAAACGGGTGTGGTGCCAGGCAGGGGAACAGAGGGGCAGATCCCTGTGGAAAAACAACACACCCGAGCCCGCCTCCCCCAGCCCACGGAAATGGGAGTGGTTCCCTCCGCGCCTGTAAACAGGGCTCGGACACCGAGTCACCAGGTCTGCGGCGCTCGGCTGCGGGAGGGGGGAGGGGAGCCGGAGCTGTTTTCGCGGCCGGTGCGCGGGGCGCCGGCGACTGCCGTTGCTCCCCGCCCCGAGGCAGCGCGCGAGAGCACGCAGACTAGAAGAAAAGCAGGAGCCCTCTTCCCTCCACACTTAACCCCTTGGTTCGGCCGCCCGCCGCGGCTCCGCTTCCCCTTCCCTCACCCAAATAAACAGACAGTAGTAGTGCTATTTGCATACACATCATGCTGACGTGTTCCTGGCCCCGTTTACCCCAGCGGGGCTCATTTGTGCTCACTTCTGCTTTCCAGCTTCATCTGCTCGGCACCGAGCATGTCTGTCAACCTCCCTTTTTCTTTAAAAAAAACCCAAAAAACAAAACCTCGATTCCCTTCAAACCACCAGCCGAGGCACTAGCCCTCCCCAACCCAGCCCCTGGCTGCTTCAAAAAAACAAACTCATTAACCCCCTCGGTGCCCTGGGCACTCACTGCGGTGCCAGCGTATTCAAAATCATCAGCATCAAAATCAGAATCATAAAAATAATAAATATCAAATAATACACAAATAACACTAATGATGATGATGACCATAGTAAGAAGGGTGCCATCCTTTTAAAATCATCATCACAACAATAATAAAAGCAGCATAAAAATAATAACCAAAAATAATACACATAATGATAACAATGATGATGATAGTAAGCAGAAGACGTGTTCTGCCCACCCTGGATTTCAATCCAAATGCTCCCCTTACTTTTTCTCCACTCCTTACTGACTTAAGAGATCTCACCCTGGCTTGTTTGCTGCACCAGAGACAATGCCAACATTGTCAACCAGTTTAGAAAAAGAAAAAAACCCAAGCAGCAAAGAGAAGGGGAAAAATACTTGTCATTTGACTTTTTTGTTTTTGAAGTGAGCCTGTTTTGAAATTCATTTTGCCAGCATCTTATTGGGGACAGGAGGACTCAGCACCTTCTAGCCAAGTGGCCCGAACCCCCCCCAGCCAGGTTCTTGTGGAGAAGCAGCCTACAGCCAGGACTTGCTCAGACCCCCCCCCCCCCCAAAAAATTC